TTGGAAAGATTGTTGGACCTCCAGAATTCGAGCATGGCATCTACTTCATCCTGAGTGGTTATGAGATATTCCTCGTGCCACAACGACCTGCCTTCTCTGTTTGGATATCGGTACACCATACGATCAACTCTTCTCGTGCCATCCATGCAAGTAACGTTAGTACACATTTGATGGAGGTCTTCAAGTATCGGTCTGGTAGCGACCTTTATTTTCTGAAAATTGCCACCGACGTAGGTGACCCCCTTTCCGGTCTCTTCCGTGTAACCATTCCACCGTAACCCAAGCGTGAACTTTTGGAATGCCATCTGCAAAAAAACCGTATTTCAGTTAATATCATAAAAATCACAAATCACAATAAAAAGTAATACAAAATAAACTTACGAGTTAACATTAACCGCAAAAACACTAAAGAAGTAGGGAGCTACAACAGAAAATTGAAAAGGGAGAAAGAGAGGTGTGAAGAGAAGAGGTTGGCAATGGGTCGGGTTGGGTCGGGTTTTGCCAAACCCAAATCCAAACCCATGTGTTTATCCGTGAAAAAACCCCGGGGTAAAACCCACTGGGTTTGAAAAACTCAAACCCAACCCAACCCGTTGGGTATCCGCGGGTTGATGGGTACCCACGGGTTCTAGAAAATTCAAGTAAATCACAAATTAACTATACAAATTATTCAAAACCAATCTAGAAAACTCAAGGAAAGAGAAGCAAATCACAAATTATCCATAAATAACATGATTAATTGAAAGCTTCTTCCTTTCAATTAAGTTTCTTCACTCTCCACTCGATAACAACAACTTCATTCTACACAATTAGAAGGAAAAAATTAGACATGTCTCCACAAACAGTAATAAGATTAGTTGCTTAGAATATTAAATATACCGAGAAAATTAATTATATGGGTGTGGGTGGGTACCCATGGGTCGGGTTTACCTAAACCCAAAGCCAACCCAACCCGGTGAATAGTTAACGGGTTTAAACCCAAACCCAACCCAAAACCCGTCAACACGGATTTTAATAGCGTTGACCGGGTTGGGTGGGATGGATACCCGTGGGTTCGGGTTTTGTTGACATCCCTAGCCGAGAGAGGGGTGGGGGTGTAGCAGAGTTGGGGAGTTCCTTCCCTTTTTTCTTGTAACTTTTATTTTTAATTAAAATTCATTAATCCTTAAAAGAATAAATCAATAGAAATTAATTAAAATAAAATTTTCAATGCAAACTGACTTGATTATTGGTCGAATCTAACCAACGAATATCGGGGTGTTACAGTTTCTTTATACTGCTAAGGTGGAATAACCGTGTATTTTGACCCCCTCTAGTAACTATTTGGCACGAGAGAGCTAGAATCAAATAAGTTCCTCCATTTCCAAGACTCACTCCAGCTCCAAGCGGATCGCGCCCTCTTTGGTGAGTGATAATGTTGTGGCCTGCTCCTCATTGAAGACATCTCATTTCAGAATTCATCCAACTTGCGTTTCCATTTAAGAATTTTCCCAAAAGTATGTCGATTCCACTCCTTTAGCTTCCTTGTGAAATCCTGCATAGCCAGCTAAAAATGCCAACCCTTTTGCCAAGAAGAGTGTGTAAATCGTGGAAAATATTTGTGATTTAACCACGAGGCTACAAAAACAAAAATGTAGATTACCTCACATCAGTGTACTACTCGAGCAAAAGTCCTACATAATGGGTAGATGATATGACTTCACCTTCTGTAGTTGCCGAACTGCCATGTATGGGATAACGGCTAGACAATCGCCATAATGGATCACCCTATCTGACTGCTCATTGATGAGGCCAATCAACTATGTGAATCGATGTATAGTGAGACATGAATTCGTCAGTGCACAATCTTATATGCATTTACAAAAATTCCAACATCGTGTCTCCCAAAAGGGGGCTCCATCCTATTTATCTTGTGTCCCTAATATGGAGTTAAAGTCACCTCCCAGCAGACACAAGCCTTCAACTTGCAAGGTGAGCTCTCCAATGTCACCCAAAGCTGGCAGTGAATCCTTTGAACAAGGCTTCCATATACTGAGGTGAGTTAGAATTGGGTGACTCTGAGACCTTAAGAAGACAAACTTAATAGTTATCCCAAAGTGTCCATATATATCCTCGAAATCCCCTAACTTCGATCCTAAAATAATCATCAAAGTATAGCTTACGAACTACTTTATCGGATGTTAACCCACTAATTAGTGGCTCCAAGACCACCAAAACACTAGACGTGACCATCCGCTTAAATTCCTTTACCACACTTCCATAATTGTTACTACCATCTTAGATAGAGTGTTTGTCATTGACTTCTTTGATGGGGGCTTCTCTTTTGACTTCAACTTAGTTTTAGGTTTGGTTTTCCCTGTTGAAACATTGATATAAGTGGGTTTATGTTGCAAACATCCCAAATAGATCTCTTAGTTGCAACTCAAGCTAACTCAAGAGCGCTCAAAGATGCTCTAGTGGCTAGTACTTGGAAACGGGACCCTCCCCACTGACTTTGATATTTTAGACTTGGCCTCCTTATTACTGTCTCAGACCTAGCCAGTAATACATGTGAGGTTTGGTGCTCATTGGCCTCCTACTGTCGCAGTTTCCTCTCATTTTTAGCTATCATCCATTCCCCGTACAATCATTATAGATTAGGAATAGGGTGGGGAGTTGGAAAATCACCGACCGTACCTTTTGATGACATGTAGAAAGTACTAATAATACTACTTTAGTATGGCTAGAATTACATGGTTTTCACATATTTAGTGTCATAATCACTTGCATTTTCTTGATAATAACTCAAGGATGTTTTAGTAGCTATAAGATTGATTTTACCATTTTGAATTTTGATGCACTTTTGGTAGCGTTTCATGTGCTTTTAGGCAAGGGCATCCTAATGGACCATCTTCTACGAGTGGAGAACTTCAAAGTCTTATTGGGAGTCAGAATGTGAGATTGGATCAAGTTCATAAAACAACGCGAAAATCAGTCGACCCAAGCCCACAATGGCACCTCGATCGCCATTTTAGGGAGTCTCCAGATTGAGCCCAAAATCTTAAGGAATATGCCAAACATGGTGGCCAAGCTGGAAGATACTCGAAGGAGCTCGACAAACGTATTTTAGGGAAACTTTTCCTCTCAGTAAACCTCATGCCGAGGCATATAAATAGACCTCTAGGCAGGGGCGAACCTAGGGCTTGGGGAGGGGTGTCGTCCGACACCCCTCCGCCCGAAAATTTTGTGAAGGACCTCCATTTTTCGGTACAAAAAATATTAATTTGAGACTTCCGACACCGCTCTAATAATTATAAGCGACACACCTTTATTATACGAAAATAATTTTAATGTTATAAAGTTATTCATCATAATTAGGATTTAACAATAATAAGTAAAATCAAATAAGCGTGCTTGTTTTAAGTAACCCACAAACCAATTTAACTTGTTAATTTGTAGTTAATAGGTGAATTGCGTAGATTTATGGGCGATTGTGGCTTGATTTTGGTTAATTTGGTAGAACTAGAGAAAAAATGTTAATGATATTGCTTTAGCCATACTTTGTGTTGTCTAAAATTGGCAATTGGTAGATCGTGGTTTACTATATTTGACTGTAAACTATTTTATTTTAACTTTGATTTTAGACGTAGGTCGATTCTCTTTGGTTGGGTGACTAATTTATGAATGATTATGTAGTTGTGTATATCGAAAAATGTTTGATTTGCAACATAAGCGATGAATGTATTTTTAAAAAAATTCATGATATGAAAATGGTCATAATTCGTAGTCGAAAACATGACGTTGTCAACTTATAAGTGAATTTCCAGTAATTTCTATTAATTTTTATTTAATTATTATAATTTTTTATCGGCGACACCCCTCTTCAATAATCCTGGGTCCGCCGCTTCCTCTAGGGGTAAAAATTTGGCAACCAGTGATAGGAGGCATTAGAGGGTTGTTACTCTATTAGCAAAGTGACTCTCCTGTTTTGGAGCAAAGCCAAATTCAGAGGGCGAATGGACGGTCTAGTTGTTGATTCATTGTTCTGGATGCCTATTAAGAGGTAATCTTGGGATCTCATTTGGAATGATGTTACCCCAAAATCTCGTCCCCATGAGCGGCTAATTCCTTTGTTACGTAGACTCGTTATTCATAAAGTTTTTTTTTACTATGTAATTCTTGATTTTGGTATACATGAGTTTGATTTCACCTATCTTTTTTATTTGAATTATATGCTTGGTTTATCGTTGATTCGATTTCATATGTAAGACGAGGACTATCTTCAAAGGATACATCAGCAAACTTGATTTCGTGGGTGGATGAGTGTGGATACGTAAGTCCCTCACGATCGATTTTCATTCGATAAAACTGCGTCTACTTCCTCAAAGGAGACATCCATAGGGTCCACTTCGTTGCCTATTAGTCCTGGTAATGTCATGAAACATGGTAAGAAAAAGCATAGCAAGGACCAAACACCTCATATGGTGTCAGGATCAAGCTTGCGAGTCAAATGAACAACCTATAAAACTGGTTTCGCTTCTTCTGTTTGGGAAACTTCTAAGTTTGGTTGAGCATTTTTAAAGCTAAAACCTAAAACTACCATCCTTGGAAGAAATTTTTTGTTATCCAAAATGTTATAAAAGAGTGAAAACATTATTTTCGGAAACTGAATGTAGCTCACGACTCTATCACAATGTACACCCTCGTCCATATAATTAACCCAACACACCACCCCACATCGTTCAAAGATTACATAGGTAAATTAGGTACAAAATATGAAGTTACATAAAAAAACAAAAACTCATCAAAGTGGTGCGAAAAGCTTTTTTTTCTTTTTCTTTTTCCTGGAGTGAATATCCCGAGTACCATGAGGACATATTTACTCTTGGCGTTTGGAGATATATATAACACTCCTTTATTCTATACATTCATTGCTTTAACAATTCAAGTGAAGGACACAAAAGATGTTTTACTCTGGCAATTCATGGTGCGACACTGCAGGATGATGGTCATCACAATAATCATATCTCGTAAGTCATCCCAACTCGGAGAAGCCTCGTCTGCGGGATCGCCAAAACCTTCTCTCCTTCCCTAAAATTCTTCCTCAGGAAACTGTATGCATAGTTGACAACCAACTTCTTGAGCAACGACGAATTCGCTTCGGCCACAACCTCTGCCTCTCCCAGCAGATACACCACGCCCTTCTCCATCGCTTTCTGCACGAACTGCGTCTCTTCCTCCACGTTCGCCGACAACAGCGACGACGACAGCTTGCTCCCTGAAGTGATTCCAACCGAAGAACAATTACCACCATCATTAACGACGACATTGCCATTTTCGTCGTCGTTGTTATCTGGGCGAATGGAGCTGGAAGATCTCCTCGACGAAACAAGACGACGACTACCATGGTTATTAGGCTGCTGCAAGGCCTCCTCTACATGAACAGTACTACTATTGAACGATTTCGTCCCATATTTCACATGTTGTGTGTCAACGTTAATGTCGATGTGACCACCACTTTCAGAAGCTAGAGGAGGAGCAAGCAGTGCTCCTTCGCGAACGAAGTGGTCGTGGCGGATGAAGTCCTTCAGGTTCTGCACCAACTGGCGCTCGAACTCCCGAGGCTCCTCCACCGTGTCCTTGTAGCCATACCTCACCACGCAACGAAACATTCGATGCTCCTTGGGCTCGACTCGCCTGAACAGGAACCTCTCCCCGGGGAGCACCTTGCTGATGGGAAGCAACTTGAGGGAGACAAATACCAAAACCGAATGTATCGAAGGCACGTTAGCCAAAAAATGAGGGAAGATTGGTGGAATCCCTTGAACCAACTCCGAGTATAGGAAAGCCATCCCCGGGACACGAGAAATGGTCGTATTCGTTCCGCCATCGTTTTGTAGCAATTGTGCGATGTACTCGGAGGAAACCTTGTTTCTAACCTCGTACATGTACCTCTGTTTGTGTACGTAGTGCCATATCCCCATGATCATCATTAGAAACAAAGAGAAAGCGAGCGGCAGGTAGCCTCCTTGCTTGAACTTGTAGAGAACGGCGGACAAGTAGACGACTTCGATCAGCCCGAATACGAGGAAGAAGGCGGCTATCCAAACCAGCTTTGTCCTCCATATCACCAGCATGATCAAGCTGACCATGCACGTGGTCATCACCATCACCGCCACCACGGCGATGCCGTAGGCGTGGCCGATTTGCTCGGTGGACTTGAAGGCGACGACGACGAGGACGCAGGCGATCATGAGCAGGTAGTTGATCTCGGGGATGTAGACTTGACCCTCGTACTTGGCGGAGGTGTGGACGACTTTCACCCTGGGGAAGCAGCCCAGGGTGAGGGACTGGGATATGATGGCGAACGCGCCCGAGATCATGGCCTGGCTCGCGATGATCGCTGCTGCTACCGCGACTACGAACGTCGGCCAATACAGCGGGCCTGCATAATACGCGCGTAGAATCGGTTGATCTTAATAACTCGAGTTGTTGGAATAAGTTTAATTGTGGATCATATGTACATGTACGTGCAATTTCGTAATTTGTACGTACCCGGGATGGACTTGTAGAAGGTGTCGGCGACGTCCTCGGGGAATTTGGACAGGTAAGCTGCTTGCCCAATATATGCAGTTGTGATTGCTGGAAACACCAGTCCTGAGAAGCTAATCTGCAGCAACGTACGTAATCGCACCATGCATGGGATTAAATCATGCAGCCGTACGTGTTTATATATATGTTTGTGTATGTGTGTGTATTTACTTACTTGGACAGCTCGAACGTTGAAGTGACCCAAATCGGCGAACATAGCTTCGGTTCCTGTAAATGGAAAAGTATAATTAGATTACAAGGTATATCTACACAAACGCAATTCATTCTTGCCAACTCAGCAGGTCGAGCAAATCAATATGGTCAAAATGGTACCAGAAAACGAGGAATTGATTGAACTGGTAGTCTGGTACTGGTACCGGTGGTACAAAATAAAACCTTCTCGAAATATATTGAAAATTGATATAATTTTCTAGATCACAATGAACTACAATTTTTTTTTTTGAAATTCAAGTAAATTAATACAAAGATCTTTTAATCTCATCATTCTTAGATCTGATCTCAATTTTTTTTTCTTTTTTGATAGGAGATATGACCTCAATTAAAATCAAAGAGTCAGATCAAATTATGCATAAGTGTATAACCAGGCCCTACACCAAATCAGTTGGTTAATTCTTAGTAGCTTTCCCCTTACAGTGTTGAAACATAGGGTACTTTCCTTAAAAGATTGTAAAATGGAAATCAAATCAATTAGACTACCTTTCTAAGATCAATAGTAAATCATGAATAAATATAACTGAGCGTGACTAATTTTTTTGATAAGATTGAACGTATTTGTATTTTTTCTCTTCGATTTGTGGTTCAACCATTATATATAGCAAATGTCGTGGTGCCAGATCATAATCTATTTAATTCGACGAGTTTTATAACACATATTATCTGCTCTTATTATTATTTCAGCAAGTAACATTACGCACCTGTGATGCAGAGAACAATTCCACCGAGGGAAATCCAAGCCTCCTTGCCGTTCCCGCTGAAATAATCAACGATGTATTTTGGGTTGAAGGCACGCAGCACTCCGACGTCGTACTTGAACAAGTTGTACACCCCGATTCCGCCGATGAACGCAAACCATATCAGGATAATGGGCGCAAACGAGAGTCCCACTTTGTCCGTACCAAAACGCTGCACCGAGAATATGGCCACCAGTATCGCTACCGAGATCCCAATTACCGCCTCTGCGTTAATTAATTAAATAATAGTGGAATTAAATTGTGGAAACAGCCGCCGGCCGGTCCGGAATTGGGGAATCATATATAATTAATAAAAAGTACAACAATAATTACGAAAATATATAGTTGACTAATCAATTAATTGAGGAGGAAATAGAAAAGGAGAACAAAACATATAGAAAAAAAAAGGCAGAGCAGAAATACTAGGTATTAGCATAGAGTACGAGAATACCTTGTCCTAGGGACGACGAAATCCCATCTACTGCTGACATGACTGCAATATTCAATAGCCAACGAAACGAATTAGTTAATAAATTAATGGATATCAATAATTAGATCTGTTTTCAAAATCTGATATTGAATCAGAAAAGTTAGTGGTTTACGATTTAGCGATTAACTGTTATAGAATTATTGATTAGCGAGTGATAGAATCGTTCATGCGCTAGCAAATAGAAGATATATATAATAATAATACACTAATTTATGACTGAATTCATCATTAATTATAAATAAATTCAAATCCATATCATCAATCACCCAAAGTTCTAACATATCATTGAAATTATCTCACAAAGGCAATGATAAATTATTTTATTAAATTCAAGATAGTAATTAGCGTGCCAACCAGTAGTAGGCCACATAAACCGGACAAGGAGGCGGGAAAGCGAAGAACAAAAAGCAAAATTAAATCAGTACTCGGAGTTGGAATAATTTAGTTAACGTTAAAGTATTTTTCTTCTTCTTAAACTCTTGACCGTTTTTGTGGTTAAGATAGTGAATTAGTGGACTAGTCAAATCGGGGTGGTTCATGTGGTTTCATGTCATACCGTTAAAATATGTTTAGTTCATCCTAATTAGCCATCCAAACAAACGAACCAAACCGCTATTGTATCTAGTACGATGGTTCTATTATTCCAGCAGCGACTTAGCTGGTTCGATTCTTATAACAATGATAATTAGTCCAACAACTTTCTAGCACGTACCAGAAATGGCCGGAGTGAGAACGCCGTCGCCGATGACCATAGAAGTGCCGAGGATGGTGACAAGAAACAACATCATCTGCAGCGGCCGGCTGGTCTCCAGCTTGTGCTTCACACCGAGGCTGATCCGGGTCGCCGCCGACGGGACCTGGAGGTTGTAGTTGGACAGCTGTGCGTCCTCCGGCTGCCCGTTGGGGATCAGGCTCACCTTCACGTGGCGGCACAGGAGGGAGTAGAGGGCGAAGGTGCCGCCGTCGCCGTTGTCGTTGGCCCACAGCACGATGGAGACGTACTTGATCATCGGGACCAAGATCAAGGTGTAGATGATGAGTGAAAGCACGCCGAGAATGTCCTCCTTCCTCTTTATCCCCTCGGTGAACGTGCTCTTGAACACGTACAGCGGCGACGTCCCGATGTCGCCGTACACCACCCCGACGCACTGGAACGCGAAGCTCAGCGTCCTCGTCCAGTTCGTCGCCGATGAGGACGACGACGAGTGCTGTACTCGGAGAAAAACAAGTATCAGTTTTTTTTTGTCTCGTACGAATTAGAATCGGTGATTTTCATTTTAAGATTAAATAAATCTTACGGTTTGGATTAGCAAATTGGAGATTGGGATTCATTCATTAGAGGTTAAGGAGTGACAATGGACAGGTATGACCGGTCCCATGACAGGTCGGGTAATTTATCACGGGGTGCGAGTCGGAGGAGGTCGACCCAATAGGAATGTAATTTATATGAAAAATATTAGAAATATTCGTTATTTTCATTAAAGGACCAAGAACAACCATAATATGATAAAAATGTAGTTAAATTATTGGAGAAATTGAGTTTTTCACTTATTTACAACTTTATTATAGCTAAAATATAAGGTCGTAAAAGAAATATTCTAAGTAATTTGACTAAGATTACATGTAATTTAGGCAAGAACGGATCGAGAATAGGACAGGTCATGGCAGATCGAGTCGATTAGACGTACCCATGCCCGCCGCACCCCAAAACAGACCAAACAGGTGAGGTGAAACTGGTCAGGACAAAATTATCATCCATATAGAGGTTAACATATTGTATTATGTCTCGAACTCCGATTAATTTAGTGTCTAAATAACAAAAACTCGACGAACTTACAATAATGCAGACATACGCTAGCCTTTTATCATATATAGATACCTGATGAAAAGCTTGAGCTTGAGCCTCCAAGTTGAGAGAGTCAACCCGCCGCAGCTTGGCCCAAGATATCTTCCTTTCTTTCCCACTAAGCTGCGGTTGTGGATGGTCATTGGCCTTCTCTTCATCGTCTTCCCGCCTCCAGCTGCTGGTTTTGCTTTCCTCCGTTGCGGCGGCTCCCTGATCTTCTGCCATTGTAATCTGTTCTGTAATATTCAACTACACTTAGTAGTAATGATGGAACACTTGAGGCTTGAGCTCCTATTTATATATAAACGTTAACATGTGTCGCAGGTATGTATGTATGTATAGGTTTTAGTACCTACGTACCTACCGTGGTATATGCCATCATCTCTCCATCTAAGCTGGCAAACCGTACGTTTTGGCTTTACTTGCTACGTGTTATGACCTCCCCTAGTTCCATGTTGTTTTTCCCCCCATGTCAATGGTTATGGTAGCTCTCTCCAATAATGGTACTTATTATATATCAAGTGACCTCATTCGATCTGTATTTTTATACGTATCTTGCGATGTTGGGTTACATAAATATCAGGAATCAATCAAGCATGCTTTTATGTTATAATGATTATATATATAAAAAATCACAATCGAAGTTTGGTTTCAGCGACACAAATACCTATAGTATCAAATTCACTTCATTATTTTTTTTATAGTCTAGTAACCTAATGATTTCACTTTAACGAGATTTGGAGGAAATAAATGAAAGGATAAAAATGGTGTGAGGTGAGGTCCGATCCTCCGAACTATGGTCGGATGGTGGTTGACAATTTTTGTATAGAAACTTTTACTGAAGGACATTTTTGATAATTTTCCAAACCAAAAGGGCATGTTTGATGTAAAAAGTAATAGAGGAACATACTTAATAAAAATGTATAGTAGAGAGACATTATATATGCTGAATCGCCATTTGTGAGGTGGAATTCTTTTTTGATGTTTTATTTTTAATTATTTTTTAGTTATTGGGTATGTTTCTTTGTGTTAGTTTTAGTATTTATGTGGTTTTGACCAGGGGTGTCCATTTGGGTTCGGTTTTTCGGGTTTACCCGAAACCGACCCGATTAGATACATTTTTAGTTTTTTGGGTTCGATTTTGTTTCAGGTTTTTCGGGTTCGGTTTTGCTTATCTAGTTTTCGGATTCCGTCTGAAAACCTCCAAGGAATAGAACTCAGGCCGTATTCTTAGGCATTCGAGTTTTTGGGTTTCGGTTTTGCTTTAACCGAACCCGAACCCGATAAGGGATTTTCAGATTTTGGGTAACCGGAAACTGAAAGTCCTTATCGGGTTCGGCTTCCAGTTATTTCGATTTTGGGTTTTTGGGTTTTTTCGGGTTTCGGTTTGGGTAACCGAACGCGATCCGAACTAACACCCCTAGTTTTGACATATAAAACTATCTTAAAGTCATTTAAATTATTTTAGTAAACATTAGGGCGATAAATAAGATGTTTTAGGGGAAGAATAGTAATGCCATATAGCTCTTATATTTTTCCTATTTACTATGCTCTCCCAAAACTTGTCTCTTTATTATGATTCGCGTGCGAATAATATCTTTACTATGTCAGCATTATGAAATATATTCGTCTACTATGATTTGCTTAAAACTATTCGTTTACTATGCGAAAATGATCAAACATCCATTTATTAAGTTTTACATATAATTTCCATTAACCACGATCATACCATGGTTTGTCAACTTTGAAATGGCTAAGCTAACCCTAATTATTTGAGGAAAAAAATGCGCTAGAGAAAAGCTCGAAATTATGCTGGATTACTTCACTAATAACCCATTAACTCACCTAACCCCTATGGTCCATGCCATCCATCGATCAGTTGACCTTTATCATTCATTCTAACTTCCCGCCCCTTCTTATTCAATCTGTAATCATTCGATCGACACGGTTTCTACACTTTCAAGGCATTAATATTAGATAATTAATACCTAACAGAAATGTTCTTTAGGGGTCTATTTCCCACACGAAAAAATTGTTTCAATATTCCTCCGTAAATAGACCGTACTGTTTTCTGGCGCCACCCGCATCTTATTTAAATTGAAATGATCATCAATAATTGGCAATTTTATATACAACTATCCATCAATTTAGTAAGTCAATGGTAAAAAAAAAACAATTTCTTATAAATGCTGTTCGAATAATGGAATGTCAACGCAGATTATTCAATCCAACGGCCACCATAACCCCCCGAAAGAAGAGGTTTATATAAGAGAATATTATGCACGCGGCTGGTGAAAGGAGTGGGAAATAAAAAAATTTAATCCAAAAGAAGACAGTGAATGAAAAGTCTACTCTTTTTGGTGTGCGACAAAATTTGTGGTGTTAAATTGTTACCATGATAATTACCAAATTAATTCGAGATTCTATTAATTATTGAACTAAATATCAAAATCAGACAAACCAAACTAATACAATAATTAAATTAATCAAATTAAAATTTAATAGGTTTGGTTAATTGATTAACTGGGTTAATCAATATAATATAGGACTTTCCTACGGTGACATGAACTTGGTTAACTGGGTTAATTAATTCACCGTAACATGGACTTTTCGGTCGACCTAATATTAGGTCGACCTAATCTGTTGTTTCAGTTTTGTGAGGTTCAACGACGCGGTTGACCTTCTACAGCAAATGGTCGACCTATTTGGGAAACGAACATAATGAAAGGTCAACCCAAATACCTCATAGGCCGACCATTTTGCACTTAATAGGTCGACCGCATAAGTACGAGGTCGACTGCGTGCACACTGCACACTGTATCCGTATTGGATAAGGATTCCAACACCAGAAAGGTAACCCTAACTTATCTACCCCTTAATTCGACCCATTCACGTCCTAAATATCTATAAATACGAATATATGGACGACTACATGGGGCAAATGTCCACCCAGATGACTGACATGTACGACTACATTACAAGGGGCAAATGACCACCCAGATGAGCACACTGCAGGTGACCGTGAATGAGATGCGAGATGAGTTCAAATCTTTCAGTGGAAGATACATGCATCCCACCACATCCGACTACCATAATGCTAGCACCACCAATGAAGAAAATGAGGATAAGGGAGAGGAGTAGGAACTCGCCGATTTTAGATTTTGTGTTTTTGTTGTTAAGTCTTGAAAATGATTGTGGATTGATATTATGTGGTTTTAGATTTTAGTTATGTGTGAACAATTATGATGTGTGTTTTATTGAATTTCTTGTTAGTTTGTCTACTTGTTATGTTATGAAGTTATGAGTCCTTGCTATCATCATTATTTAGGACTGATTCTGTTGGTTTGAAACGTAATTTGTACGAGCAAAAGAACCATCCACATCGACATACATAAGCAAAAAAGAAGCAGGTCATAGATTGATTTTCCTGTATTCGGTCGACCTCGTACCAGATTAGGTCGACCTCAAAACCAATACTCTTGATCTACATTTTACGTCAAATGGTAATGGATAAATGGATACAACATTTCTCTTCTATCTGGTCGACCTCTTGCTATAAATGGCCGGCCATTTTGTTAATGACCGCCATGAAGTAGTCGACCTATATACCGTTACGGTCGACCATTTTGCTTCTGATGCCAATGAAAAGGGCGACTGATGTTTTATTACGGTCGACTCACGTACAATGACAAATTAAACTAAAAACGGTCGACCACTACATTTTAAAGGTCGACCGTGATAAGTCATAAGGGTGCCCACAATAGTGAATTCGGTCGACCTCTGTTAGGATTAGGTCGACCGAAAAATGCATGTTACGGTGACATGCATGTCACCATAGGCGCATCTATAATATAATATAATCATTAGGTGAGAAAAATATCCTAATAATGCATTAATTCGTAATTTATGTAATAATAAAGTATATCGATTAACACATAATTTTTTTTTGCATTAACGGGAGGCCAAGGCTGAGAACAAAAAAGCAACACAGAGGGAGATTACATGGAGGATGAGAGAGAGGGAGCTACAATTTTCCGAGGCAAAGAGACCCCTATTAAATCGTCTGTAATGATCGAAGTGACCCCTGGTGGCGAGTTTGCAAGCTCATGCATACCGTAGGGATAGACGAGACTGTGCTTCGAGAGCCAGTCCACGACTCTATTCCCTTCTCGGTATACATGAGTGATGCTTACCAACCCGTCTTTACTCAACCTCCTGCACCCGCTGGTCCTGGGTTGCCATTGGAGGCACCACCAATGTTGAGCGTCGTCCACCTTTCAGGCGACGACTTCCACCCAATATGAGCCAAAACACGCTGCGGGCGTTGATTTCTGTTACTGGGGAGAAGGTCCGAGGGATGCCAGACATCATTCTAAATCTTGGTTCTAGCAACAATGGAGTTCTCGAGAGATGGTGAGGAGAGCGCCGATGAGATCCATATGAAGTAGGCTGTCGAGCGATTCTTCCAAAGGCACCAGGCGTCCACAACAAAAAACGTTGCCCATTCAACTCCCGTCGAGGTGCGACCGCTACTAAGGAGGTTCTCCTTAAGCCAATGGCTGATATCTCTGCTGAAGAAACTGTGTTGCTGCTGTGAGGGAACGTGTCGCGACCAAACAAACAAGGCAGGGGGCAGTCACAGAGAATATGCAAGATTGTCTCATGTTGATCGGAGCACCTCATGCAGCAAGGACTGTCCACTACCTTCCTCGCAAAAAGCAGCTCCCTCGTGGCAATCCTGCTAGAAAAGGTCAACCACATGAAGCTTATCACCCTTTCTGGTACTGGCAATCTCCAAATGATCCTCCAAAAATTTTCATCCGGGTCAGGTGTGAGTTGATTTAGCAGAGTCAAAGCCGACTTGGCACTGAACTTCCCATCTGCCGCAGCTGTCCAGAACAAAGTATCTTCTTCCTGTGATAGGTTGTCCACCGCGATGCTGAGAAGTTTCTGAACAATGTCGGCTGGGAGAAAATGCGCGAAAAGCTCCGTTCGCCATCTTCCCTCTTCGTCCAGCATGTCCGCCACCACAACACCTTCTTGATCCATAGGAATATTGCCTGGCGCAATTTCTTTAAGGGGTACCTGCAAAACCCACAAGTCATGCCAAAATTTAGTGCGACGACCATTCTTAACTTTCCACGCACATCCCCTTCTCAGGAGAGAGGCAGCTTTCGAGAAACTGTTCCAGGTGAAGGAGCTTCCTTTAATCGGTCGGAGAATGTCGAGGTGGGTGTGCTGGCGTCCATACTTTGCTTGCATAAGTCGAGTCTAGAGGCTGTCGTGGATAACACCGAAGTGTTCACCTTCATCTTGGAGCTCTCTTGGAAACTCGACCCAATTCCCACCTTCTTTATGTGGCCCAACTTTCCGACATTTGTAAAGTTCATCTGGGGCTGTGCTGAAGAAGAAACGGCAGGTGCAGCTAGTTTCACCGGAACTTCAATCAGCCCTTGCCCATCTCCCAACGGAGAAGGTGGCACAGTGGCCTGTTCCTCCGGAGCAGATCAGACCGCGGCTCCCCGAACGTTAACGGGGGTCTCCTGCTGCCTCGTGTTGTCTTCCATGCCATGCTCCGGCGTAGCTATCACCTCCTCCGGCACTAGAACTGCAAACCTTGAGACCGTCCCCGATGGCAAACTCGAACTAGGTGGGCTAGGTGAAGCTTTACTCTTCTTGGACCTCAACTTGACAACCATCCATTCGCCATACACAGGTTCTGCTACACCAGGCTCCATAATACTATTCCCCTTCTCAGGGGTTTCCACACTAACCGGGGCCCGGAGCGAGGGACATGCCACCTTAGCATGGCCATATTTCCCGCACTCGGTACAGATATTATGCAGGCCTTCGTACTTGATGTAGTATTATTTTCCCTATATCTTAAAACTTGACAATAATGGTTTGGTGAGATCAACCTCCACACAAACACGGGCAAACTTTCCGCGTTCTCCATGCTGTGTGGCACGATCCACGCGCACTGGTCTCCCCATAAGCGAAGCAATACGCTCAACAACTTCTTTGTTTACAAACTCAATGGGAAACGCAAGTAACTTTGCCCAAACAAGGGTTGATGCTACCTCCGCACATTTTGGATCAAAGCCTTTCCTCCATGGCCGCACCGTTACATAGTGCTCCCCAATCATCCAAGGACCTCCAGCTGCTGCTCGCTCATAGTCCAACTAGTTTGTAAAACGGAATACATAGAACCCCCAAGACAAGCAATTGATATGGAGAACTCCATCCTTCGCCCACATCGATTCTAGGTAGACCTGGCAATCGGGTCGGGTTGGGTAATTTCGGGTTGGGAACTTTGGTTACGGGTCGGGTCAAGTTTGGTTGACTAATTTCGGGTCAAATATTGACCCAACCCATTCGGTTTCGGATCGGGTTACAGGTCATTTCGAGTTATGAGCGTTCTCAGAAACAATATCAAACATGCTTCATATTTTCTTAAAGAACACAAATTTTCACATATGCATGACAATAGTTTACCTAACATGCGTCAATTAACATATTCTCAAATCCTCAAACATGCTTCATATTTTCTTAAAGAATACAAATTGCGCAAATCGTCAAAAAACAATCGCAAGAGTAATACTACTACAAGAAACACATGATATTTAATTATCCTTAAACTCCATACATGTTATTCAAATCCTTGTGATTTTTTTAAACATCTCACCAATTTATGAGTGATTTTATCATTTTGGGAGTGATATATAAAATGGAACGGGTCTAACGGGTCGATCCGCTAACCCACCCAACCCGACCCAAAAAATCACGGGTTATCGGGTTCGGGTCATTCAGATTTCGGGTTACAAAAATTTCTAGTTTTCGGGCGGTTTCGGGTCAGTTCAACGGGTCGGGTTGTAATTTGTTAGGTCTAATTCCAGGCGGCGGGCTGGGACATGGTAAGAGAACGTGCATCCCAGCACCTTAACAATAAGGGCCGACCTCCACTTTCGTCGGTACCTCATCTTCTCCATGGCTTTGAACGGTATCGTTGGGTACCTCGGGTCGTCATCCTCAAAGACTTCATCGTCCTGGTCATCCTCCCGCATGGCCTCCGTCACGTCTTCAGAGTCAGACTCGGCCACGTACCACATATCCTCCGAGACTTGACTACCAAACAGATTCTTCGTTCCCTTCGTCCATGTCGACGGCGGGGGATCCGGTTGCGATCGCAAGGGAGGTTGGCTTCCCCCGGGGGCAGGCCCTCCAACCACATCCTCCATCTCCGTTTCCAGTCTGAAGAGCGGATTGGCAATCATGGGTTTGGCTCTCTTCTTAAGCTGCCGCGTCTCCTTCTCTCCCTTCCCGTTTGGCGACGAAATAGCTTCTGGTGGTCTCCTTGTACCCTGGTTGGCGTCCGGCAGGTGGCAGTCCCGGGGAGGATCCCCCGACGCCGGCGAATCCTGCATCAGAGGCCCTAGAAAAGCAAGCGAGGGGTGCGCTGCTTCGATAATCCCGTAGTTACGGTAAAGAAGCGTAAATCCCCTTTCCAACTTACTAAGTACAATATTATAATATAGTAGATAAATGACTAATTGCTTAATTGGCTAATTGATTTGATTGATATTAATGACACATATGACTTTCTTTATTAAAATTTAAAGGGTTATATCTTTCATTTTAATTCGAAATTCAATTTTTTTGCACCGATAAATTAGAAACTTATATTATTCAAAATGATCCATTTTGATGTATCTTAGAATAAAAAATTGAAGAAATATTAATTATATCACCATATATTATGATGATAAAGTTTAGTAGTACATAAAATTATATTATGGTCGTATGAAAGTGTATTATGATATTAGAAATATACAATGTCGAATGGTGGTATACACTCTGGTAGAAGTATACTAACAATCATCTACAACCTTTTATCACTATCTACCACAATTTACTATTATAGTATATGGCGGTATATTTCGAGCCCAAATTTTCCCCTGAAAAACATGTTAATTTTTTAGATCACGATGAACTTATTTTTTCCTGTGCAAACATCATTCTCACTTAACAAGATTAACATCATTCTCATTTAACAAAATGCCAGAAACATTATCATCGTTTGAGCCAATAAGGAGAATGACACACATTCATGTATTTGTAATCGCAATAATCCATGATGATAACATAATAACAAGTAACAACGACATATATAAGACGTTTGATCCCCAGCAGCAGCTCTAGCAGGATTGTCATCAGTGTTTGTCCTGTTGCTGAATGTGACCAACTTTGCGGAGGAAGGATTTGTTGAGGAAGTTCTGGCCGTTGGTCGTTGCCAGATCGGGCCGGTCGGCCTCCGACATCGATCCCCTCCTCGTCTTCCTCAGGCTGACCCCAGGAGAGTGCACCAGCTGCTGCTTCGCCGTGTGAACCCCGATTGCTACCGCTATCGAAACAAATCCCATCACTATGTACACCGGCGCGTACTCCCCCGTCAAAGCATACCTACACCACACGTTACATTATTAGATTGAATTCTGTTGGTGATGGTTAAATCGATGCATTGAAATCGCGTAATGCGTCATACTTACTTGTTGTAAGGGGCGCTGTTGCTTGTAGGAGATGATGAATTACTAGGCGGGGCCAGTTTGGGAGCAGTGGCAGATGCCATGCATTTCTTCTGTCCCGAGGATCCAATTGTATTCTTGATGATCGGCAGTTTTGGTGACCATCTCCAATTCCTTATCTGCATGCATAATAATCCATTTGAATGAGTACATTACAATGACATGTTGTCAAGAGCTGGCGGCTTTGAGAGAAATTCAGTTATGAATGATGTATCATTTATGAACACACGTTACACAAATTGATTTGATTTCGCTAATATAATTACAGAGAGAAAGGTTACTGACGGTGGTTGCCAACATAGCTATATCGATTCGAAAAAACAATGCAACTCAACGTAATGATCTCTGCAGGCTAGCTAGCAAGTTGGATTTGGTGTTTATGTGTGTGGATAGAAGGGCTTATTACAGAGGGTTGATCTTCTCCTGTTGTTGCAACATTTATAGTCATATTGCAATGTTAATTAGGGAGGGAGGGAGGGAGGAGGGGAGAGAGACATATGTCTCTTTTTCCTTGATTTCCTGCTTCTAAGTGTAGCTATTTTCCATTCTTAGCTTTGTCCAGTTTATTTTTCAAGCATTAGAACTTTGAATACTTCATCGTTGGAGAACCACTTATCCAATAAAATTGGAAAGTAGAAACAAAGAAATCAAAATATACTCATTTCTCATATTTTAATTATTATAAGTTTTTTTATCTTATGTCTTCTTATTCTATTATTTGTCGACTGCCACATTTAGTTACTTGGTCATTTATAATTATCTTTGAATATTTCCTTGTTGGAGAGCCAGTTATCCAATAAAACTGGAGTGAAATCAAAATATACATATTTCCCGTATCCTAATCATTATCATCTATATATCTTATGTCTTCTTATTCGACTACTACGTCTGGTTATTCAGTCATTTATAAGTACATATATATGAACATTTCTATCTTTGGGAAACTTTCTTTTCTTTATTTTCTTTTAGAAATGAAAGAATTTTATATACTAGGCAATAGACAATGAAACATTCAACAATAGTGAATGTGCAAAGATACAAAAGTTACAAATGCTAGGCACAAATTACCTAATGTTGTAAAATCTCAAATCCAAAGTGCATGCATCAAAACCACTATGACCATCCACTATGGTTGGGAGAGAAAAATGGGTGGGTTGTGGGAGAAATTTGGGTTTTTTTTGGGTTTCGGGGTGGGAACCCACACAATGGGTTAGGAGGGAAAAGTGGAAAGAGTGTTTTTTTTATAAATCAATTTAGTGTTGATTTTATTACTTTAGTTAAATAATTTGATCATTCTTTTTATATAGGCAGTAATAATTAATTAAAATGAACATTGTGATATATATATTTTTAATTTGGACATAATTTTTCCTCATTAATTAAATATGACGTCATTAGTGACTAAATCACAATAATGTTTCAGAAGATCATGACTCATCACATGTTTCACAAAATGAGTTGTGACATCAACTATTAACCCAACTTTGGTAAGAATGAGTGGTTGAATCAATTGTTCCTCCAACTTTAATCAGAAAGAGTGGTGTCATCAACTGTTCCTCCAGCTTTAATCACATTCAGTGGTGCCATCAATTGTTCATCCAACTTTAATCATATTGTTGTTGAAGGAATCTTTTCGTGTTTCTATAAATGAAGGCTAAAGTATGTCATTCTATTCATCCACACCATTCAACCTTGTTCATTTTCGCAACTACATACTTCTCTCTTCACATCAAAATCTCTTTCAGCATCATGAGTTCTCCTAATAGAGAAACTAAGGAGAGTCAGTAGGAAGCTGATGGTAGGCAATGGGATAGTGAGTGTCAGCTTGACCGTGAACGTCAACAAATGATGGTAACGATAGGAGCCTTCATGTTCCAACAACAAGCATCCTCACCATTTTTCCATGAAGCAGTCAGAGGAAATCTTCCAAAAGCCAGGTATACGGTAAATGGTACATATTATGATCAATGTTATTACTTGGCTGACGGGATTTATCCTCAATGGTCTACATTTGTGAAGACCATTACCAATCCTAGAAGAAGTTGTTTGCAAAATGGCAAGAGTCATACCACAAGGATGTTGAGAGAGCCTTTTGGCATTCTACAAAAAAAAAAAATGAGCCATTGTTAGAATACCTAGTCGGTTTTGGGATGTGCAAACACTGAGAGAAATTATGTTAACATTTGTTATTCTGCACAATATGATAATTAAGGATCAACGACATGAGTTTGGAGAGGAACAAGCTGAGCGGATGTAGTATGAGACTAATCCAGACGTCTCATTAAATCCACCAAATCATGACACTCTGACCCTCGTGGAGTACATGATAAGGCACAATAGGATTCGTAATCGCGAAGGGTATCACACGTTGAGAGATGACTTGGTTGAGCATCTGTGGACAAAAGCAGGTGGAGAATAGTAGAACTTTGTTGTGTACTTAGTTTGTTTTATGTATTGTGTGATAAGTTTGTTTTATGTATTGTGTGCTAAGTTTATGCTATGTGTTTGTATTGTTGTACTTTTCCTTATTTCATCAATGCATTTTTCCTTTTCTTGTTCATCACTAAAGAAAATAGTTGCATGAATAATTGAACTATAAACCACAATAAGAAGGATACATCAAGGGTGAATTCAAAGTACATAAAGCAAACACACTTAAATAAAAAACACTTAAAATAAAACATACATAAAGAAAACACACTTAAATCAAAGGCAACTTATTCAATATTACTGGTCAGGGGTATAAGTGTCATCATATGGCCTATTGGCAGACCCCCTCTGGTGTATGGCTTGGAGTTGGTTGATACGCGATCATAATCTGATCTCTTTGAGCTTGATCTCATGCTCTTTGTCGAGGATCCAATTGAGAAAGATCCTGAAGCATGATCTCTTGTTGGTACTTGGCATTTTCCCTAGCTTCCTTAGCCTTCTACCTTTCCTCCCTACTGATAGTCAATCTCGCTTGTGTTGCCAAACTTGTCGCCATGTCCGCCAAGCTCTTCTAGAAAGCCTCCATGGTAGAAGAATCACCACCTCCTCTTCTCTTCCTCTTTGACTGATCTCGACCTACCTGACAGTTGAGCACGTTTGGGGAAACAATTGCTTGAACTATAGGACTATCATCTTCTTCGCTTGACATGGCCAATGAAAATAGATCCATTGGAGGAATGGGTGCAACGGGGGCATAAAATTATTGCATGAATCTGGGAGAATCTTGGAGTAGAGTTCAACGTTCTTGAAACTTCCAGTCGCTCTTGGTGTCCGCATAATAAATAGCCTTTGCGTGTTCTGATCACATTCATCAGTGCAGATTATTGTCAGTGGTTAGCACGTGTCGAAAGCTATCCCATCATAGGCCAAGTTTTACATAAGATGGCATTGCGTATAGTGGCAATCAAGGTTGTATTCTACTCGTGTCCTGGTACTCTAGCCTACTTCCCACCTCATTGTTATTTAGTCGATCGGTTTGAGGGTTTGTGTGGAGGATTTGAGCAAATTAACTAGTCTAGAGATTGATAAAGCTAAAATCATGTAATTCGGGGAACTATCCCTCACCCTATCCTAGGGCTACTATGTAATGTCTAGATACTTAGGGTTTATCGAATGTGCTGAGTAAGCTCTTTTCGTAGGATTTTGTGGTTATCCACACGCCTCCCACAGATAAACACATTTATTCATTCAAACCCTAAAATATCCATACCTACATAGTAAACCCTAAAACTAGGGTTTGAGGTTTATGACCCCTAGTTCTGAAGAGGACTACTCCATAAAGGAGGGAAGAAGATACATAGAAGAAATTGAAGTAGTCTTTAGGTTGAGGAAGATGCCTCCTCTTATAGATCATTCTCTTTCTTCTCCTCTTCTCCTTCCTTTAGCTTCTCTCTCTTCTCTCTAGAGAACTAGAAATTCTATCTCAAAATCAGCTCTCTAAATAAGGGGAAAGGGGTCTTCTATTTATAGGCATCAGAGGACGGATAATTTCGCAGCCAGACAGGTGTAACACCCTAACTCGGTCGGGTATTAATTTTACTAAAATGTCATTGAAAAATAAAATACTCAAGCTTAAACTGCAGCGAGAATTTTTTTTTTCATAAATTAAATACTAAAAACACACTCTCGTAGTTTAAAGCAATGCCCTAACATGTGGGCAAATTAAACTCAAACATGGAAATCTCAAACCGATCTCCAGTCTATACTCATAATCATAAAACGTAATAACTAACTAGTCTCAACTACTGCCGCTGCTGACTCACTCCTACTGTCACTCTAGAAAATGGCCAAGTGAAATCACTTCCTAAAGCGTAGTATAGCGGGTTTAGGTTTCAATGTCAACCCGGGTCCTAGATGTGATGACTACTCAGTGAATTCGTATTATCTAGCAATGAAACTTTAGTGAAGGTCTAAACTAACAAGCAAGCAAAGCAACTAAACGGTTGTTTTCAGGTTAAGAGAGGTCACCCGGATATGGTTCCCCCTAGTCTGCAGTTAAGCCGGATTGTAATTACCAAGTTCAATTTCTATGATAGTTATACTGCGGAAGGTTCTTAACTAGTCTGAAGTCTCGACTAAAGGTCTTCAGACCCTCTCAATCTGAGTCTCTAGCGGGCGACTAACCTCCACCGGAGTAAACAGATTGAGGCCCTAACGAACCAAACCTCCACTACCGAATTGACTTCGGTACAGAATAGCGAATTGGCTCCTCGACTAAAGTTACCAATTCGCTACCTTCAATTAAGGATGCTCTATTAACCTAGGCAGATATTATCATTCTAGGTTAAAGCAGAAACAACAGGAATTTGATCAGGATTCATGCCATTCAATCATTCAAACCTCAATCG